TCTTTGGAACTTATCGACGCTCGCCGGCATATCCCGGCTGGAAGCGAGCACAATGAAACTCGCAAAGAGCTCCGGGCAAAACTCCGCGCTAGCCTGAAGAGAGACCGCGAATCTTGGTGGTCTCATCGTGCGTCAGAGATGGAAATGGCCGCTGCCCTTGGCAACCATCGTAAGTTATTCCGTCTGATACGGGACACGGGCAGCAGGCTTGGTGTTAGTGAAACAATTTGTGATGAGAATGGACAGCCTAATCACAATTTGTCAAAATGTTTGGAGCGTTGAGCTGAGCATTTTGAAAAGCAATTTAATCGATTAGAATTGTTCGATTCGCCGGTCACTGATCGCCCTGCTCCGTGGGCTGTCCCTTTGGATCCACCCTCTCGCTCAGAAGTCGAACGTGAGATCGGACTGTTGAAGTTGAACAAAGCCGCGGGACCAGATGATCTTCCTCCAGCCCTCTTCAAATTCGGCGGCTCTGCTCTTGTTGATGTTTTACGTTAATTACTAGTGAAACTGTGGGAGCAGGAGACTGTTCCATCCGACTGGAGCCGCTCCGTTACTGTTCCCATCTTCAAAGGCGGCTCGCGCTTGGAATGCGGCAACCATAGAGGAATCAGTCTGATCTCCATCGCCTCCAAATTACTCGCCTCCATAATTCTTCACAGACTGACTGGCGCTCGTGAAAGCCAGATTCGTGAGGAGCAAGCCGGGTTTCGTCCGGGTCGTGGCTGCATCGACCACATCTTCACCTTGCGTCAGTTGTTGGAGCACCGCCACACATATTGGCTGCCCATCGTTGTTGTGTTCCTCGACAACAAAGGTGCCTTCGATTCGGTTGATCGATGTGCCCTTTGGATTTGTTTCATCAGAAGAGGTGTGCCCGAGAAATATGTAAATATTATCCAAGCATTATATGCGCGTAGCACGGGCAGAGTGAGGGCTTACGGCAAGCTGTCGCCACCCTTCAATATCTCCAGCGGTGTGAGACAAGGATGCCCGCTGTCACCTTTCCTCTTCAACCTCGCTATTGACGAAGTCATGCAGTTTGCATTTACAGGACATGACTTAGAAGGTGTGGATCTACTCTCAGGAGAACGACTTCTTGACTTGGAGTATGCAGACGACATTGCCCTCATCTGTGACAGCTCCCAGACGTGCCAAGCCGCGCTGGACAGATTAGCACTGGCTGTCAGCCGCTTCGGGCTTTGCTTTGCACCACCGAAGTGCAAAGCGTTCCTCAAAGATTGGCAGGGATCGCCTCCTGCGCTGACCCATGGTGGGGATCAGCTAGAAGTCGTTCAGATATTCAGTTACCTGGGAAGTTGTATCAGCGCCCTTGGGATCGAAGACGAGATCACGAACCGTATAGCGAAAGCTCGGAGTGCTTTTGCTAACCTTCGCCACCTATGGCGGCGGCGCGACATTACTCTTGCCCTGAGTGGTAGAGTGTACAATGCAGCAGTACGTTCGACCCTACTGTACGGTTGCGAAACCTGGCCCCTAAGGTCGGCGGACTTGAAGAGGCTAGTTACGTTCGACCATCGGTGCCTTCGCAGTTTGGCTCACATATGGTGGGAACACTGCGTGAGTAACGAGCGTGTTCGACGCATTGTTTACGGCAAAGAAAAAGGATCTGAACCGCTCAGCACCGTTATTTCCCGCACCAGGCTCCGATGGCTCGGCCACGTGTTACGCATGCCAGCCCACCGACTCCCGCGACGTGCGTTGTTTGCTCACCGGGGATGTGGATGGAAGAAGAGGAGTGGCCAAGCGATGACTTGGTCCAGAGGAATGAAGGCCATCACTTCGGAGCTAGCCTCGGTTGGACCTTCACGGCTCCCTGGTTGGGGTCCAAAAGACGGTGAACACGTTTGGCTGGATACACTTGCTGACATGGCAAGGAGCCGACCTCAGTGGCGTTCCTGCTGTGAGTTTCTTTGTCCCTCCCCATCCCTTTTAGTCGCCCCCTCCATCTACGATCTCATTTCCTAGAGTAAAACATGTTTTTTTCTTTTTGCCTAGTTGCTGGCTGGTAGCTTACCGGAACGATGCCTATCCGTTGCTGGTAGCTCAGCTGGCATGCAACTGTTGTATCTATTTTTCCTTTGTGTGTTGTATTATATGTATGTATGTATGTATTTCTTTCAAGTATTGCGGCACAATAGCGGAGGTGTTTTCCCACTTCTAGCTGATGTGTATAATGATGATGATGATGATTTTGATAATTCATTTATGTCATATGCTAATTTAGCGGCATATCCGTACGGTGTATTCGATCTATTTTATTCGACATTTCATTTCATGTGATTGGCTGTTGCTTGACATCCCTGGTGTGGCTGCGCTTGATGTGCATGTTGACAAGGTGCCTACCTGTCTATTACCCACTACCTCGTCCATACTGGCTCCAGGAGACAGTTGGTCGTTGCTGGAGGGGACGGGGTGCACGGTCCTTGTGGTCATGCTAGGCTGAAAGAGTGGTTCCACGCACTTAGTGTGGAGCGGACTACAGTCCAGCCACCGCTTTGGGTGCGATTGATTCCCAACTACAGCGTGCTTGTGTTTGCCTGTGAAGGAGTGTGGGCCGGCTCCGTTGATGAAACGTGGCTCCCATCCATATGCCTCTCGGTCTTATTCCTTCGGGTTTACACTGGATATGGAGTGGGTGGTTGGAGCTGTGGGTGGTGCAGCGCAAGGCACCCATGGTCCCTCTGTAAGTGCAGGCGTCCTGTGGCTGGCAACAGTGACAGACAAATCCGAAACCGGATTCAGCCAATCATATCAATGATAATGACGCAGTTTCACCAATGGGATTCTGTGTTTACTCCTGTTAACTAACAGTCGACATCCGTCATTCGAGCAGCAAAGCTTGGTCTAGCCAATAGTTGTGGCCGTTCGGTTCTCATCTGAACGCTTGCCTCATTTGTCTCGTTGATTTACCTGCTCCCTTCGATGTACAACTGCAATCGCACTGGTGAGTGTAAAAGTCTCAAAGAACATCGCATATTTTAACTCGCCGCGTCAAGAACTGAGCGACCTAGGCGGAGTCGAACCCGTTTGGAAATCTGGTCTGCATGGCTGCTGGAGGCCGTCTCGATGGGGACGCAAAGAAGATCGATGTGGCCGCTAGAGGAATAAATACTTTTATGCCTATAGAAACGACGACCCTGGCACGCTAGAACGAGGTTACTTTGTATTACTTCTGATTCTACTTGCTTGGTAGGCATTGGTACTTGGCTGGTAATTCTTATTCAAGTTTGTCTCTGTCACATATTATGCGCTGATTCAGCTTGGATCTAGCGGCTTACTTGTGTATCGCAGTCATTAGTGTTACTGGGACGCGTAGTTCACTTAGGTCTGTATGGGGTTGGTGATGCTCTAGTGTTCGTTGCACGTTCACTTATCTTCATCTTCGATATCTTGTTTCTTTTCGAACCCTCGTAAAGGGCGTCCTTTTTTCGGTAAGCCCGTTCGTCCACAAGACAAGCTTTTCCACATCGTCTTCCTATTACGCCTATCGGTTTATGGTATCACACACGCCTTCCTCATCCTAACCCCCGGGTGCCCATACCTGTGCAGTTCACCCCAACAATATCTTGTTCTCAACCGAATTTTCGTTGTTTCTGAGCTTCGGGTACATTTTAGATGTGTGTTGATTTAATTGTCTATGCCTCGCCGGATCGCTTCGGCTGCACGGGCTGGTAATAACAAATAAATAATGTGTCAGCTGTATGCCCTAACAGCGCTTCGCTACCGCGCGACCACCATCAGTCGCGCACGGGCTGAGTGTACCGCGTGGAGGCCCATCACTACTACGCGAATTCGAACCGATGACCCTATGATTGCAAGCCAGGTGTGCAGACCACTCGGCCACCGGTCGGCTGGTAGGGTGGTTAAGACCATTGGTTACATAGATGGCGCCTGACTGCTAGTTGTTAATACGCTGAGGATTTTTGTAAAGATTCCTCGCGGCTAATCTAACCCAACCAGACGCCAATCATCCTGGAAAGCGTTAGATAACCGTTTCATCCTACTGCGACTCGTCATTGGCATGCGCCCGCCGCATTCGAACCCATGTATGAGGCCAGCGCCCTCCTTTCCAGGTTCATAAGGTGCATGACATTGAAGAATGAGCCGCGCTATATCGCAGTTAGATATCAGTCAAGGCGGTCCGCCGCCGTCACCTATGACTCAGAGACATAAATCGTTGACTCGTAAGAATGAGGTCATGGGTCTGAATCCTGCAGGATCCTGTGGGTGCGCGCTACTTTTGTGTCCCAATGAGACGACGCGGTTGTCTAGTGGTTTCTTGGATGTGTATTGCATGTCTAGCCGAGTATAACTGCGCTGAATTTTTTCATAAACGCAATAAACCCCCTAAACTGAGGATTGTTCTCGAACGGGCGGTGGCAACCCCACATGCACATCTTCCGGTCTGCGCCATTTGTTCTGTACTCGAACTGTATACTTGACGCGACGGGGGCTACTTCGATTATGTGACTGTTGCTTCAACCTCAGTGGTAAGCAGCAACGAACGCGGATTGCACCATGTACAATGAAGCAGTAGATATTGTGTGCCGCCCGTCCGCAAACACTGCATTTTCAATCCCAAAGATCGATTTGACCAAGGTCCACACACATCGTAATCCATTCACGCAACGTGTACTTCAAAATGGCCCTCCAATCTGCCACGTACGATACTTATTTCACTTTAACAGGTGCTTTGATACGTCATTTTTAGAACAAACAAATGTCTATCATTCCTCAGTGTAGCCTCCGTCGTTTAGTTTCCACGGTTTTTATTCCGATGATTCTCCCTTCCTGCTATTGCAACAGTAGATGATTTGGACTTTGCTTTGTGCACGTTTCTGTCAAGACTAATTCCTGCTCATCCGGTGCCTCATGACAGCATCATCGTGTGGTTTCACACCAACCGTCCTACCCCAAAATATTCCAATCACTGGGGTTACCACATCACGGTTCTTTTTTTTATTCGCACGCAGAACCCTCTGAACTAGTGCCCCATTCCACGTTAGGTGACAATTCTCGCAGCCGAGAACACCATTTACTCAGTGCCATTCCAAACACTACCTGGTAAGTTGTATTTTCTCTTCTTTTCTACTCCTCACTGTAGTCTGTACTTTGTGTAATATGGTCTTTTACTATGCCCTTACTTTCTGTCTTGGCTACTTACGACCGACGCGATCACGTTGCAAGTAGGAAGCGAACACGTGTTGACTGCGTCCCAGTATGGTGGTGACGGGTTCAGTAGTGGTTTGCTCTAGCCTTCTGGACAGAGTTTTAGCTCGCTCGGTCAATTGCCTGTCATCCTCGAACGCAAATTGTACGAAGCACTAGCTTGCACGTCTTATTGGATGGCTCTGGTACAGTTTTGTTTTTGTTACTCACTAAATTATATTAGTCACAGAGCATGTCCATAGGGTATACCATGGAATAATTCCTCATGGCTGATACAATTGGCTCTACCACATCGAGTTGCCTCGAGTAAACAGTATAGCGTGGCATTAGCTCATACTCAATGGTTCTGCGGCTCGATCCACTGAACCGACTGGCGCATGTTCGAGCAACGCTGATTCTTGCAAGCATACGTGGCTCATCGGAGGTCAGAGATCATTCACTCGAAACCAGCCTTCCACTTGGTCTTTCTGGTCTCCCTTTGCGATCATGTTATACCATATGATCAGTCCATGTAGTTGGACTGTAACTTGCATAGTAGAGAAATATACATTCTCATTCTTAGTTGCGACCACATTAAGCATCTCTACAAAGCGCACCCCTGCGTTGCTTCTGTTTCCTCACTCCGACCGCCACGATGCTCCATGTCAAATGGCTTACGAGTAAGTTGAATGATTAGTTGAAGTGTGAGTTCGATATCCGGGATCAGCTATCACTTTGGGTTGAATTCGTAACCATGGTTGATGTCAGTATAGTCGGAATAATGACCACGAGTTTTATGTAAGTCATTCCGCCTCCTAGTGAGGCGGCTCACTTCAGTTGAAGCTAAGCGAATTTCAAATGTAGGGGACATAGAAATAGCAACCATGTGAATCCAGAACATCCTTATCTTTAACTCTCCGTACCATTCTTGGCTGTCTCGTATCACTTTTCGCTATAATTGTGTGGTTTGCTGCGTCCGGTGTTCCTCTACGCGTTTATTCGACTTTTCTATCGTAAAAGTAGCCTTTTGACTCATTCCGCTCTCGCGCATGCTCCGTTTGCACAGACCACAGCAGCTTGATGATGTCGCCGCCTGACGATACTAGCTTACTTACTTCGAACGGCAAACCGTTCACGTAGCCCGCACTAGGATACTGTTAGCACCCTTATCGATTTGTTTAGTGAACTGTTATCCTCCTCCCCATTTTTCCGCTTCTCACATATAGCGACGACGCATTTTCGGACCAACTTCCAGACGAGCAATTGAAGCGCCACAGTTGGTTCGGAGGCGACTCGACCACATACGGCAGGAAGACCTCTTTTGGTATTCGTGCCGCCACACATCATAACAGTCTGGAGGAAACCATACTCCCGAGTGATCCCTCTCTGTTGTATGGACTATCGAGCTTCCGGTTAGCGGTTTCATTACTCTTCGCTTGTTCAACGCACCTCCCTTGCGTCATCTGTCATTCATCTATCGGTTGCATCAGTTCTTTGGGGCTTCATATGATCTCCGTTTGCACTCGTCTACCATTACACCATTCCTTAAGCATTTTCCTGCACAATGCAGTCGAGGTCATCCATACGGTTTTCAGCGTTATGCATCATACTAATCCTCTATGTATTCGGCACTAGCTATGGTACCGGCTAATTGCGTGCACTTCTCGGGATCGTGTGTCTACAGTCACTTCTCCCGTTTGTACAAAGCCCGTTTGCTGAAACATCGAGGGAAGTGACTAGAATACTAGATTAGTAGAGTGCTCGATTAGCTCGAGTACTAAGATTGGCTCGGTGCGTGTCGCCCCACTCCCTGTGTTGTGGTCATTACCTTTAGATTTTACCTTACACATCGTATTTGCCAAGTCATCATTCAACTTTCCAATCATAACCCTTTCTGTCGTTGAGGTTTTTTTCCTCATTTCTCTTCACACTGGCCAACTAGTGTGACCACACCAACTCAGTTTGTTGCAACCGAGTTCACCTCACCTCAATGCTCCGGTCGTGATAGCCTGATAAATATGAAGTTTTGCATTTCTCTTCTCATTTTTCCACAGATCACCTCAGCGGCTTCAGTTAGTTAAGCCACTAGATGGATCCGAAGTGTTACAACAGTGGCAGCGGCTGGCCACCCCCAGTTTCACTCGTGCCTTGTTCGAAGCCCCTTTGCCTGGAGTGCAAAGTCGGGCTGGTGTACCTCAATCAGTTGATGTATCTACTCCGACACAACCACAGGTTCAACACAGCCAATCACAGTCTGGGCCCATATACTCTACTCCTTTACGATCAATTTCTTCCAGTTGCCCAGGTAAGAGCGATTTGAAGATGACACCATCTGTTACCAACTGTGGGTTTGCTTGACCACTGAATCTACGCTTTCTTCACTTGCAGAATCTACAAGTGTGTGGCTATGATCCTGGTGTCTCCTAAGGTCATTTTGTTGAAGTGCAGCCTAAACTTATTCATTGGCTGCCTACCATATACTTATCCTCTCCTCTACAAAGCCATAGGATTACTCTGGTTAGTTCCCTGATGAAAACGCACACGAAAATTATGCACAGCAAATGCACACACGAAGATCGTTCACACGGAAAACCGCTCAGAGGAAAAAATTGTAGCGGTTTGCAAATTTCTCCGGCTTGTCATGGGACCATATGTGAAATGCGAATCAAAACTACTTCTCCCGTTGTACCCTTAAGCGATCAGCTACGACACTACCCTAGCTACAGCGTTTCACCGGTCTTTTTATAACGGTTCACTCTTTTCATACGCACACTGCAAGTGTGTCCCTTCACTACTGCGTTGCTGTTATGGAATGCCCACTTTCACATTAAGCTATCGGATAGATCACTGTTACGGAGGCATTCCTGTTGAAATAGCCTGTAGTGTCGTAACAAACGTAATGCGAACAGTAAGTTTACATGATTTAGTAGTGGTTCGGTGTTGCTCCTCCCAGCCCTGATTTGATTCTACGAATACTGATTGCCAATGTGTGTGCTCATCGAAAACTCGTCTTACATCACTGACTGGGACAGAGATTGGCGCGGCCAGAGACTTGACCTGGAATTTCATCTTTGCATCAGTTTAAAATGCAGACCGACGTTATAGACTATCTAGATGAGGCTTTGGCACAGGTGAAAATAGCAGCTTTTGATGTCAACATCTGGAAAACCAATTCTCGCCGGGAAGACTTCTCAAAATCCACTAAAATTCTATGCGCAGCAAATCAATCAGCAGCAGTTTCATTAGTTTAAACATTCCCATATAATTCTCCGTTTCTTTTTGTAACAATGCAAATGCAAGGCCGACAACAGTTGCTCACCTTAACGTTCTCGGGTGTTATTGTAACAGTTTTGGAGGCAAAGGTCAAAAGTTCTTTCCTGTTAATGCCACAAATAACTTACATGGTCAATTATGACAAAGTTGCCAGTGTTGAAATGTGGCCAATTTCCCGCGCGCGCATTATATCTGTGGGCCTTTTACTGTGTGCGTTTTACCGGTCACCCCTCTGGTTGCTACTTTTTATTATATTGCCTACTGAAACCTCATGAGTAGTCAGTTATGTATGCTAATAATGTCAATGCCCAGCGAAATGAGCTACCTGAAAGTCAAGGGTGGTCATGAATGGATTCGTAACCCATTGAGCGTTGATTCACAAGCAAGGGTTGTGGAAAAGGTGTCGTGCTCTGGCCACTCACGATAGCTCCACAACCTAATGTTGTATAACCAACGCGCTTCAAAGTTCACAGCTTCTACGCTTGCTGTAGTACGTACAACGGCTTCCACTACATTACGAATGGATCATTGCTGTACGAATATCAACAATTCACGGAATTTTACCGTTACATCCGCATGATGTCCTTTATAACTTTTGATGAGATGTGAAGCGAGTGGGTTGATTCAGGGGAAGGACCAAGAGGGACCTACTAAAAGAGATGGAGCAATAGGCTGTCCTCTTCGCCTGAGAAGTACTTTCATGTGGTTTCTAATTGAAAACGTTGATCTCATTGTGTTGTATAAGGTGTTTTGGTTGCAAAACCGACATGCTTGATTGAAATAGTAGTTCGCACTTTGGTAACGGAAATGGAAGAACGTAGAGGGTCCTCTTTGCGGTTCACAGAGACTGGTTTGACCGTTTTTCATCATCTGTCCCGTTGTCGTGTACTGGAAACGGGTTATTTTACCACCTGGGTTACCCAGGGAACCTTCGTAGTCACTCTGATTTGAAGCTTGAAAGTTCTCGCTAGCATCTCTTCTGGTGTAACCCACCTTCCTTTTTCTCAAATGAAGCTTGTTTCGATCACGTCTGCTTCTTAATGTTATTACCAGTGATTTCCTGCATGTTATCATTATCAGTTTTACCTTGATAACGATCCTTTTCGTTATGAAATGTGAACTCTCGTTCGTTACCCCAATATCTCTATCCTATATGGTCCATAACAAATTTTACTGACCCCCACCTCTGGGCATCCTATGACTAGACGGTCTGCTGAATTCAGGTCAATCTATTGCACCCATTCCCACAATTAATAGGTAGTTGGTCAAAGCAGCTTCGCGTAATAAGCGCATTATTTTGTAGTGACTTTGTCTGTACATGTCTTGAACGACTTTGTGTTTGGAAATAACCGATGGTTGTCTTGTGACATGGGTAGAATAGAAACTTTTGTCCCTCTTTTTGGCGCACGAGTCGCTTGGGATCAAAGGTACTAGGATTCCTACCTGATGTGACACATCCCAGACATCGGAGAAAATTAGGTTTCGGATAAATCTGGATGTATTCTAGCAACTCATCGCCGTCTACTATTGTTCGTGGGATGTTAAAACTTACCTCATTACTGTTGACCATTACATTGCTTTCTTTCAACTTTTTATTCGTGTACTCCTAAGCAAACTAAGGACGCTTCGATTGATACTGTTGATACTATCCACTATTCCAACTAGCGCACATTGCGTTGAAACACACCTGTGAGTTAATACAAACCCTTGAAACAGCCAAAGCAATGAAAATCACACAACTGTTTCCCAATTATGCTTAAGCATGACATGTTTTGTAAACAGTGATCTGTGCCAAATATGGTCACGGTTTCTCACTCGGTGACCAAAATATGCCTATTGTTATACCACGGTTTGTTTACGTTTGACTCAAACTGCTGCGGGAAAAAGGGGATTTAGCATTGTCCAACTTGCTCATGGTACAACCAGTGGAACGGAAAAGCCGAAGAAGTGATAAAGATATCTAACTAGCTCATGTGGTACACCAAGATATCAGGTCAAGTTTCTCAAATAATTTCTGTGCAATACAAAACACCGTTTGAGAACTTGCAACCTTCAGTCCGGTTCAGCGGATGTTCGGGAAAATTCTCACTGAGGAACTGCTTCAACCATAGGTATTAGATCACGTCCGTATGCATATCTGGAGAAGACTTCCTTGAACATACTTCGTGCATTTTTGGCCCAGTGTTTACAACTAACGAGCTATCCAATCAGCTACTTCGCAAGCCAACTAGACACTGTTTGTGGAGAGTGCGAAAGCAACCTTTAATAGGCGTATGGAGGCACTCAAATGCTAAGTGGCGTATCTTGTACACACAGGACAATGGAACGAAGTTTCCGTGTGTTCGCTCGGAGGGTCATTTTTGGAGTACACGTGTGCTTGGACTGCGACGCGCAGTCTCAATGTAGACCGCGATTCACATTGAAGTGAACCTTGGCCATTTCGATCACTAGGACCATAGGTGAAGTAGATGGAAATTGGGTGTTGGCCGTCCGAAAACACTGCTCACCACGACGCGTTCCGATCCTGTTTGTTCTCATCAGGTGGAGATTGCAGGCATCGAACCTGCGACCATTGGAATAGTAGCCGAAACCACTACCCCTTTGGCTACAGGCTCATGACGAGCATCGCTTGACACAACGGTTACTGACTGATTGGAGGACCATTTTGAGGTACTCGTTATGTGATTGGATTGTGACGCGCAGTCTCTATGTGGACCGTGATTTGTTCGTTCATTATGATTCTGCTTTGTCGTGAACTGAACAACCGCTGATGCGTACACATTGTTGGCTCCATCGCAGCGAAACCTGTCAACGTTCGGCCATAACAAGCCTTCTGCACTGTGTGACACATGGTCCGTCTTTGTTCCTCATGGACCAGTAGTATTTAGTGGTCGATCTTTGGCATCATGCTTCGCCTCGAACTTTCTCGAAGGGCGCCATTTTCACAGTAAGACCGTTAGCTCACATAACGTGGTTTTTACCCCGTGGAATCTAACAATGAAGTGAGGTTGCATTGTATCTCCAAATCTCTGCGTCACTTCTTCTTTTAACCTCACTGGGAGTACATGGTATATGAAGGCAATGTAGGATTGGTCGATCTATATCGCAGTTAAATTTCAATTCATGATGCTCGGCTATCGTCCCACATGACTTAGTGGCATTAGCTGCTGGCTAGTGTTGCGAGTCACTAGCGGTCTTGGGTTTGGTTCCCTATACGGGACTGAAGAAATGAGCGCAACTGATGGGCCATAGCAGAGTGAAACGACCGTCTGGTACTTTTCCGGATTAGTAGTTTGCTTTTCTGGCTTGTAATCTAATTGCCATGGATGCAATTTATTGTTTGCTTGAATTTGATTGACTCGCACTGGCTGGGTTATGTTCTCCGCACAATTACTGACCATTGATTGTGTTCATATTTTGTACCATTAGTGCGCTTTTTTACCTGGTCGCAATATGATTGCTAGTTGCTGATGCGAGCTGAAGGTATGCAAACATGTACAGAAAGCTTGATCACATCGATGCAAGTCGTCTTTCCGGATGTGAACTTTGCCCTAGCTTATCCTGCATGCCTCAGTAGCGAAATCGGTGTGGCCGTTGCACATGATCCTACGCTACTGACCTTCGTGTCCGACCAATATAGCTATTTCACACTGTGATCTTCCTACCGTCAGATCCTTTTTATAACTTTTTGTACGACTTTTCCTCCGTTACACATGTTTTGTCTTTCCATCGGCGCCAGTGATGTCAATTGGAACCACCTCCAATTGACACGCCTATCGTAGCCATGTGACCAAACCTACATACTTACGATAGTCATCCTCCGCGGCTATGGGTATTCTAACTTGTAATGCACGTGTAGACTTCCGTGTGCGCTCGATGCTCCGCTACGTGATCATCTTTACGCTCTCTCTCTCTCTCTAACTGACCGCCTTTCACGCGAAGTACATACGGTTACGTTAGTTTGCATCTCAGCCAAATCTAGCTATGCATTAATAAGTAGCCGTGACTCGTCGAAGTCAATGGGTATCCTTTTGTTCACATTCTCTTCTCAGATGTCCTGCATGTAAAGATTGGCGACCCTTTCTGCGCGTTACTTCATCGCTAGATACTAAGACTGGGCTCTCCTGCCGTCCACCATGCAACCCTGTGCACACCCCTCCTGTCTCGCTTTCTCCTTACTCCCACGAGTGGTCATTTATGTGTGTCACTTGCCCAACCGGGCATTTGCATTTGTCTGCTATCACACGTTAGCATCTTAATCGATTTACTGTCTACCCCTTCTCCCAACTCGTGTATCAGCCGCAGTTCACCCACATCTGGCGATGCTATCTAACCCTGGTCTTTGCGCAACCACCTGTCTGTCTGTCATACTGCCTGCTGTTTCCTATTTCATCGAACAACCACTGCGGTTCGGCTTTAAAATCTGACTGTTTAGCTGCTACGCGCGTGGAACACTTTAATCAGTCGGAATAGCCCTTGCGAACATTTGGCTAAGCTGCATTCAGCCGAACATCTTTCCATCATCCGAAAAAGCATTGAATGGCCGTTTCTCTCTATTGGGCCTCAACCGCACAGCTTGCATCCCCTAGAACCCTGCGAGAGTCGAACCCGTGACTCTCGTGCCAGAAGGCGGCGACTTAGGCCAGTCTACAATGTATGGTAATGGCAGGTCACGACGACTTATTACTGACTATGGCATGGCGCGACTCATCCTCTTCCGTCGTGCTACAACAAAAACGTTTTTTGCACTATAAGCAGGTTGGGCTGCTTTCTAATCATTATAAACTAACGAGAGATTTGGGGTGATTTTTAAGGATAATTTCTCAGTCGGCATGGGAATGTCTTACGAATAGGTAGAAGCATAGCTTCCATCGTTGTGCGCTTTACATTTTTTGTGCGATCTAGGGCACCACCCTATGTGACCAGATTGTTGCAACTAATTCCTATCTGTATCCTCTTTCACAGCTCAGGACGGTAACAGCCATGCGGGAACTCTTTCCTTTCCTTCCAACGAATCATCCAGGTAACTTTCGTTCTGTATTCCATCCTTTTGCTTGCATATCCGCCTATATGTTCTGTTCGCAGGTTCCTCACTCTTTTTGTAACGTAACGGTGACTACTGCCCTTGATCCGCAGTTCAGCGGCTCCAGCTCGACACCCAACTCTGAGTCGATGGTTACTGATGGTGTTCTGTTGCTTCTGCAACTTATTGTTGTCTTGCTTCTGCCTACTGTGTTCGGTTGCTTTTGGTTTATATCAGCCAATTGTACGGTTGCCGACTCTACAATCCAAGGCTAATTTCATCATTTCCCAAACTCGAATACACACAACCTATCTCGTGGCCGCTAGTCGATCAGCTTGCCTGGTGTTTTCGTCGATTGTTTGGGATGTATCACAACTACTTTCAGCCAGACACCCATGGGACACCCGTAGATACATTGGACGGCGGTTCTGCTATTCGCAGAATTCGTCAATATTTCCCTGTCCCGGCGGCCGGCTCAATACTACTCCCACTTATCTGGTTAGCAGACGTTTAAACTTCCTAGGCACAGTAGACGTCTCTGTACAACAACTTTGCACAGTCATAAGTGTCGTGACAGTTCATTTCACAGTTTGCTTGACGCGAGGCGTGGTTGCCCCTAGAACAACGTATTTTCACAATAGCCTGTTAGTTACCTTTTGATGCTACGCTGCTGCATATCCGAACTTCCTCGTACATCTAACACTATCTCCCACTAAGAACCCCCCCGTAAGTTGCTTGATCCTGAGCTCGGTTGGTGTGCAACTTTATTGTGCCCGCCGCGTTGTGTACCCTAACTTCATCAACCATCCTGCATCTCTGTCTACACCCTTCGTTTTTCCGAAATCACCCTCTTTGGCATATCCCCACTCCTGTTTCAGCTACCGTACCGTTAGAATTCCACCTCCGATCCAACCGTTCCACAACCGTATGCGTACGCCTTCCTTTTTGACTCTGCCTCTCACACGAAGCGCACAAACGCTTCGAACGTAGTATGTGATACTCCATGCGCACGTGCTTCTCGACTAACTGACTACCACGTTATGCACCATTGGTTTTCACTCCTCTCCTTGTTTGACGCATTAGTTCACCCTCTCAGTTCATCCATTTGCACACTCACCTAATTACTGGTGCGACAGTGGATCGAGGTAGTCCGACATCCCTACAATTCATCCGCGGTGTGCATGCATCACGTCCGTCCATTGGAATGGTGGTTTGAACTACTAATCTACCAACATTCGACTGAGCTGACCTACTCGGGAAACTCCTTTAAGTCCTTACTGTTGCCGCTGGAATTGGCTCATATTGTAAGCCTCACATCTTTGTACTACCTGTGAGACCTCCTGTTTCTTGCCCACCATCACGACGCAATCCCATCCGACATACGTCGCAGTGCCCATGAGCGTCTTCTTACGACCCGGTTTGTGTCTGTCGTTTTAGTAAGCCTAACGGTCTTGTACAATCCCTGTGTTTACCACATCGCACTGATGAGCGCCTTAAATGCTTTCTTTGTCCGTCACTTTCTCTCCCATCATATCTTTTCTCTGTGCGTGTCTTTGCCATTCATCTCAGCCGCTTCGGTGCCAACTTACCCGCGCATTTAACCGTGGATAGAATCCGCTGTCGATCTTTGGAGAGTCTTCGCCCATCGGCTCATAATCTCTCTCACCGCTTCGACGCTAAAGGCCATCGCAATCCGTCGGAGGCTAGTGTTACCTCTGCTTCCTCTCCATTCTCCATTTCGGCACTTGTCTCGGCATTCCTCCCATTCTCTCTGTCCTTTCGAAATTCCTCTTCTGAGAACCACTCATTCGTTCCGTCGGATGATAAGCAACTTTCCTCGGAGCCAGTCCGGATCCGTCCTCGATCGCCTCTGTGCTCACGAGGGTTACTGGATGTTGCCAAAATCGGCTCTGACCCATCCACTTCCCTTCAGCGTGTGACTACGGCCCTTCAGTCTAGCCCGTCAGCGAGTACTAACCTCCCTTCGGCAAGACCTCCCCCAAATCCACCGTCTTTGTATACACGGCCTCCTCCTCCTCGTACCATACGCACCAGTAGTCTGTCCGGCATCCTGGAAGAGTCTGGATCACCACCTAAGTTGGACAGCTCATCGGCTGAAGGCGTAACAGAAACTGCATCGTAATTCCGGTGTCCCCGCACACTTCCCACACTCGGCTGTCTTTCAACCCCCTTCTTTTCGCACGCACGTCCTCCTCTTCCAATGTACACACTTGTTTCGCTCATTTGTGCGTAGAAATACAACCTCCACTTGCCTGTTCGACCTTGACTTTCTTTGAACGGCTCTCTTTCGCTCATTTAAGCAGCTAACCAACAACAACCCCACCCACCATCATGGTCATCTTCGAATTATTATACCCTTGCTTTTGTGCCTTGTACCTTTCCTCTTTTTGTGCTACTTTCCATTTCGTGCGCCCACCTTGCCGGTTGTGTACACATGTATGGTTTCACTACTTTACTTGATAATCGTTTACAAAGTTCGCTTATGTTCCGTATGGAATCTGATCCGTAGCCGGAACTACTGAAATCGACTCACACGATTCTTCTAGTCTGGTTTTGATGCCTACATTGACGAGATCTGCAAGCAAGACAAAATAACGCCTTGCTTTTGCCTCAGAAGTCTCATCGGATGAAGGAAATTATTGCTGAATTGACGTGACACTTTCCAGGTAACCCGGGTGACAAACATGACAAGAGCTGTGGGGTAAGAAGACAAACCTGTTTCCAGCAGTGATGGTAGTCGTAGTAATGTTGGTTATACTTGCGTACCGCTGCTTCCACAAGCGAATGGAGTTGGAAAGCCGCATGGGCCTTAGCAACACATGCGGCGAGCCATCACTGGCTGCACAGCCACCTAAGTGTTTGACCAAACGACAACTGCGGTTATAATAAGAATTGGAGATGAACCGGTGTAATCTTGTAGTAATAATTCCCACTTTGTAGCTGCTGCATTGTACTCGAACCTATACAGCAGCGCATGCATAATGGCTTTGTCCGACACGTGGCGACCATATCATCTGGGCTTTGAGTAACACAGTGAGAAGACGAAACACTGATGGATACGCGCATTTCGCAACCGACCAATATGACAAATAGAAACGGGTACCCAACTTATCACATGTATCCGGGTGATCGGTGGCGATGGCCCTAAAACCACTTATGGCATGTTGCGAAATGCGCGTGTCCATCAGCGTTTCGTCTACTCTAATCTCGCCAATTTACAACCTTACGGCACTTTCATCCAAATAATAACTGCTACAGGGCTAACACAGCCCTGCCTAACTCACCTGGGAGTTCACCGACTCCAGTACATTATCATTCCCGAACAACACGGTCGCTATGTCTAGACCCAAACTGTTCAGTTCGGAGCAGAGCTCTCCCTACGGAAACTGCCTCCAAGGGCCCACTCGTCTACACAGGTCAACGGAGTTGTCCTCAGTGAAAACACGGCTAATGTATCCCGCACAGTTTCCACTGAACTCGCTCCAGTCTCACCATCGTATCTCCCAGACTCTCCTCAAGTCAACAGTCTGCCTCCTGAGCTGTGTTCATTTTAATGCCTCAACTACTGAGCACGCACCACAACTGTGATGTGTCCAAGTCTCGACATCATCATCGGCCACATGTGCCAACAATCGTACGCCTCCCATTATAGTCTGTACATTTAATACCGTTTTAGTGAACTATAAATTGGAAGGTGTAGAAAGCACGGTTGCCTTGGTTGAAACATTAAAAACACTTACTGTTGGCCAGTCTTCTTTCTCCGCGTCTCGGTTTAGTTGTGCGGCGTTTACGCGTTCCGTCTGCCTTATCATTGACGAGTTCACATCTTCCGGCTAAGTCTGCTAGTCGCTCTAATACGACTCGTCTGGGCTACTCTGAGCTTGGGAACCAACGAGTAAAAGAGTTCGTCCGTTCCGACTAGCACAGTCGAAACCCAACCAGGGTTTTTATAGCAATACTACTCGTGTATATCACTCAACTGTGCGAGCAACTGTCCCTGAAGTGGGGACAGCTCATGAGCACGGTAATGGTCATGTTCATGCATGAGTGAGATATGTGTTCTGGGGCGTGTGACCTCAAAACATGTTGCAACACAACTTTTGTTGCTGCTGCGTTTTGTGTAACATCTCTTCTCACTGGTCGAATATTCCTTGGTCCATCCTGGGAGAACTCATTTAGTGATTTACCCGATGGAAACATGATCATTATAAAGTTCTGGTCCAGAAAATATCTAACCTGAATGCGGAATATTCTTGCATTTGTGCAAAACCTGCTAGTGGCTGGTAGGCTATTCCACACAACAGCGTATCTAACGAGGAAGAAGTTTGATCGGATAACTGTCCTGGGGCTTGGCACAGTTAGTTTACAAGTCTTGTTGCGTAGTTTCCAGGTGAAGTCATGTTGCAATTTTAATGTGCATAGGTCGGAGCACGTCTTTTTGTTTATGAGATTGTGTTTTAGTCGTCGCAACGAAAGAGACTCGAGCTAAAGCTCTTGGCAACACTCTTGGTAGCTCCAGATGGAAGATTTACTGAACAAGCGTTTAGTGAATGATCTTTGCAGGTTTTCCACCCATACGCATGTTCCCATAAATCATTCTGCAGTATTCAAGGACAGGAAGTGTGAGTATTTTGAAGAGATCGATTCTGACAGGGACTATATGGATTTTATGGCATATGTCAGCCACAGATCGTCTGGCGCGTGCTATTCGATACTCAGTCTGTTCTGAGAAATTGAAGTTTGAAGAGTATCGTATGCCTAGATCACAGTTAGACAGTGCACGCAGATGCGTTCATTGTCCAGCTTAACTGACACTTCAGTGATCAAACATCCGTGTTATTTTATAGCTGAGAATTTTATCATTCATGTATCGCACCGTTTCTCAATTGAATCCATGTCTTCTTGAACCAGCAGCATTGCGCCTTGGATTTTGTCTCGCTGAAACTTATAATAAATCTTAATGTCATCGGCAAACGAAAATGGCATGCCATGTTTGATGAATATCGTAATATCAATTATGTAGATTAAGAAAACGGAAAGACCAATTACACTCCCTTGAATGACACCACTGGTGATTGGATGTGGGGAAGAGTTATGATTACTCAGACTGACTATCTGGTGACGCCCATATAGGTATGATGTCAACCAACCCAGTAGTGGGTCTCTGATCCCAAATGACAGGATATTTTCAGTAGCCGCTTGTGAGATACCCGGTCGAATACTTTTTGCATATCCGGGAACAACATTATAACTGCATACTTGGAGTCAGTGGATTCTGTGATGTAATCCAGGTAGTGCAACTGACAAATTGTACAGGAATGTTTATCGAGGTACACATGTTAAGATTTGTTAAGTAGTTCATGACGATGGATAAAGTCTATGATTCTCTATTCAATTAGTTTTTCGAGTACGCTGCGATGATTGGAGGTTGATTGATAGGTTGATAATTAGTGATGTTCTGTTTGGACCGCCTTCATGACGAGAGGCAATAAAGGATGTTTTCCACTTATCTGTAAAATAACTAGATCCTAACGACAACGTGAACATGTTCAGCAAAAGCAGTGATATGTCAGGTCCACCGAGTTTAATGATTGATGGTGGGATGCCATCGGGATCTAGTTTGAGCGATGATTTTATGGACTTATAGTCTGCTAGACGATCGAAAGAGGAATCTCAACATTGTGTATGGCGCTTGTTGTTGTAAGTTCCAGGCAGCAAGGTATTGAGTCGGTTTCTACGTCCTGGAAGCAGAGAACCAAGAACTAAACATTTCACAATCAGCAGGTAAGTCGTTAAGTGGACGACCCTCCTCAACAATCAGTGAGAGAAAACGTCTGATGCTTAGTTCCATGACGGAGCAATTTTCTCAATTCCTTTCCTTTGCATGTCATCCGCAAGGTGTTCTCCTTTTCAATTCGCTTTATTTGGGAACCATGGATTCGTGCAGTTGTAATATTTATGAAAAGTCTGGTCTTTCTGAACTTCCTGATTAATTTTCAAGTGACGCCGAGTATCACTTGCATTCCTAGGACCAGGAATGGCACGTTTATAAGGTGGAACAAATATGGTCATGATGCAATTGATTTGGTAGTAGAACTGTTCCACTGCAATGAAGGCGCTAGTGGAGAGAAAAATATCATCCCAGTTAGAGGATCGGATTCGCTTTTCGAAATGCTACCAGTCAATCCTTTGGATAGTATGAGGGATAAGTGAGTCGAGTTTCGTGTTCCTTTCGATAAGTCAATCAAAGCCATTTCAGTTACTAAATTAAAGGGAGAGAGCTTGGGTGACCATGCCAGTCTATTTTACGTGGATATCTTGGGCGAGTGTCCCATAGAATCCCACCCGTTATGCAAAGACTTAAGAATAGGTGAAAAATTTTCTCCGCTACCCTTCGGTGGAATTCCTCGCTACAAACAGGTATGCTCAACTGTGGCAAAAACGGCCTAAATCAAGGGAGAGTAACATGATAGGCTGTAGGTGGGGTGATCCTGAAGCACTTATCGATATGGTAAATACGCTCTTCACCTTCTCGGAAGCCACTCTGACTTCCATTTATTCATTTTCCACCAGGATAAGTAATCCGCTGCATTTTCATGCTTCTAAGTATTTTGTAGGTTATTTAAACTAGCCAGTTAACTCGCTGGCTTTCGTAGGACATCCTTTGGTCATTTTGATGCTTTTTAATCATAGTTGACAACCGCCTGTCATCAGCAACTTCCTCCTTGCACCAACTAGTATTGAACAGGTCAACTAGGACGGTCCCAACTGAGCCCCCACCCATTTATGCGACAATAGAAGGGGGCAGTCGATCTTAAGCGCCTTGTTCAACGTCATTAGCACCAGCGGTTGTCGTTAACGTCGCGAATTACAGCATCAACATGCTGTCACATGGAACTGACGGACTTTTCCTTTAGATTGTTTGGCTCAACCTTCTCACGGACTCGCTTAATCTTGGCTCATCTTTTCCGGCTGTTGTCTCGCTCATTAGCGCCTTTCTTGAACCTGTTATGTCAAATAAATCAATAAATGGTTTATTCTCGACTGCGAACCACGCCTGCAAAAACATGATCATTGTGATACAAGCACGCATGATTGGTGATGGCATTAAAATTTTGCAAG